TATTTTAACAATTGCATTAGTTTCCCTGTTCAGCTCTTCAAAAGACCTCATTCTCAAGCTGTCAAAATTATTACTATCTTTAACAATTTCCTCCGCCAAAGTTTTGCATTATATATTCCTTATAAATGAACTGGAATGTGACATTTAATTCAGCAGAAACCATTATATTATATCGCTAATCACCTCCCCCCAATATACAGCATGGGTGTGTTTATTAACTGTAGCATCTGAGTAGATATGGATCCAATCAAGAGGAGGTTTCTCCCACTGAAATTTCAGAATTGGTTCTCCCAATATAATGTTTTGGGGGTCCTCTCTCTTTGTGTTATGATAACATGAATTGAGATATTGATAATGATTCCACTTCATGTTACTCTTTAACTTGGCTGATACGTTTTAGGAAAAGCAAAAAATGAAAGGCTCTAGCTTGGTTGCTCTTGACATTCACACACAAAAAAAAATAACTTATTGGAGTATTGGACCATATTCTTATGGTGTGTAACACAAAAAACGTTCTGTTTACCCATTATCAAGCTCAGATACCCCCATCTACAAACATATGTACATTACTTCTATGGAACATTTTAATACAAGTAATTTTTAAATCAATAAAATATTTTTGCAATGTATTAAGATTAATAATTACCTAAAGTACAGTCACTTTGTTTGGACTCTGGTTTGTGTTATCCCACTCATTTGATCATATCCTTCTTGTGTGCAAAACAAAATACTACATTGTACGTATTATTTATTTACCCACTCATGCAGGCTAAGAAATCCTTTCTTGCTGAATTGCAACTTTTCCACCACCATGGTAGAACCTTATTCAGCTTGCTTACCAATATATGAAGCAATTCAGTTTAGTATTTTCTACATAATATGGTTTCATTGTCATGGTCACCTAAGTGCTAAGTATTTGCTTAAAAATACTATTGAAAAAAAATTTATTTACAAAAACATGATTAAACTTACTATCAATATCAATATAGTGTCATGGTGACTTAAGTGTAGATAAGTTAATACATAGTACTGTAGTATATCTCTTCGTGGAGTTCATGCCACAACAAAGTAAGGAACAAATACTCATTTGAGAATTTCTTTTTGAGCATTTACAGTTCAACTCCTTTAAAAAAAAGCATTTACAGTTGAACTGTAAAATGGATAACAGGGAACAAGTACTAATCTGATTAAGCAAGTTCTATATTGTGCAATTTAACTCATACGAGGGAAATATACAATTCTTCTATTATATGTACTCAGTACGTATGACTGTATGAGTATGTGAGAAATGGTTCCAAGTAGGACCAAAATCATCCTAGCACTACTTTGAGATTTTTCATTTTCCCGCTCACATGCACATATCTCCGATCCGTATGATTCACTAACACATATCCACGGCTAAACATTCACTCAACTTAACTCTTAAGCATTCTATCTTCTGTGCAAATCATTTCCTCACATTGCGAGATATCACCTCACTCAGCCGCTCATCAGAAAAACTCTCCATTCACATTTCATTCTCCATTTCCTCACATCTCTCATTTCTTTTGGCCATACAACTCTCAGATTCAGATGGCTCCAGACATTTCCCATCCCATTCTCCCCCCTAAAGACATTTCATGATTTCATCTGCACCGTCCAACTTCCTTAACCACTCAACTGTCTATTTTGATTCCCATCTTCTTGCCTCACCCCTTCCGCCTCTTCCTTTTCCCATTTTCATCATCCCATCCCTTCCGCCTTCATCTGAACAATCTCGGTGCCACCTTCCAATTGAGTCTTCCTCTTATGATTCATTAGGGATGCCTGTCTAAAACAGAACGAGAGTCTAATGTCGTAAGTAAAACAGTATGGAAATTACACCTGGAACATTACTAGATACTTTTCAAGAGGAACAAAAGATTCAAGTGACAATTACTTTGGTATGTACGTATTAGTATTAGTACATTCTGTATAATCAAGTTATCTCTACATAGATTCAAGATAAGCAGATAGGTAACATTGTGTGCTTTATATGACTATGTTGCATGTAGCAGTCCCATTCTTGAATTTTGGATGAGATAGACTATGTACAAAGACACATTGTGTGGTCTGAGGCTCTGAGCATTAAGCACACATTGCATGTACAAATATTTATACTCAGATAGATTTTTGTTGAATGTCTCAAGTGATGGATATAAAGTAATAAAATCCCGTGTTTTCTCAAATATAGCCGCTAGGATCCTACTATAATTGTGAATACTGAATACCTTCATCACTCTTCAAATATTGACCCTTTTCAAATATATGGCATCACCACAATTTTTGCAAACTAAAAAATTAAAGCAAGAGCCTAAAGTTAGTCTGGTTCTGTTTTTTCCTAAATTTATACTGCGTATTTTCTAGGGGTATATCTAAATGCATTCTAAAACGTTTAAGGTACATAAGGTAAATGTTTAACACTTTGAAAAAGACCAAATTGGGTATAATCTTCAGAAGTTCTCCCATTTTTCTAAAGAAAATTAGTTTAATTTGCAGAAAAAAGAAAAAAGGTTTTCTTAATTTAAGCTTCTAAGCTTGGGTTATCACTCTCTTCTTTTAACGTAGACATAATTTGGTTTAAGCTTAAAAGGTTTTCTTATTTTATGCTCTTAAGCTTGGGTTACTATTGTTTTTTAAGCTTGGGTTATTATTCTCCTTTTAAGCTTGGCATCGTCTTTTTTATAGAAAACTATCATGTTGTAAGCTAATGGCTGTTTGGTACCCCTCACCCCATATATCCATATACTTTATTGACAGAAGTAGTTTTTTTTATATCTGCTTGCAGGTGGCTTTATTATCAAATCAATAATTGGTGGGTATATAAGAAAACTGAATTGTTTTGACATTCCAGCGCGCTTGGTATACATATTTTTTTATATTAAAGATATATTTTTTTTTGTTTTTTTACTTTTATATTAAAATAGATAGAGTATAAAAATAAATTTTAGAGCCCACTAAAAAGTTCGGAAAACTTTCTGTCTACAACAACATAACAAAATCAATCATTTTAAGCTTTTCGAGATGAGAACTTAGGGCATCATAGAATAAAAGGAGTACCTAATTTCCTAACATAATCGTATTTCCTTTGGTAATAATCTCTTTTGTCAAATTAGTGATTTCCTATCTTTCCAAGTTAAATACCCCAAACATTATATGAAAAGTTATTTTAGCTATATAGTCAAGTATTATTTCTCTTAAAAATGTCAATTTATAGTGTTAATAGCATCATCTAAAATATGTTAGAATTCATGAATACACACTTAACATTCTAAACTTCCATTGCGAAATAAATATTGTTACCCACAATCTATATAATTGCAACAGTTTTAATTTGTTATTTTAAATTATCCAATTAACCTCATAAATTTACATTTTTGAGAGAAATAATATGTGACAATGGTGCTTAAATAACTTTTATATAAAGTTTAGGGTATTTAAATTGCACATGCAAGTTTGGAGTATTTATCTTAACCCCTTCAAAGTTTGGAGTATTTTTATTATTTTTCCCTTAACTAAAATAATTAAATAACTACTCCCTCCACCCCCTATAATTGTCTCAGTTTTTCATTTTTGAATGTCTCACTATTATTGTCTCATATCATATTGAGTAATATTTGTGAGACTATAATTCATTCTTACTTTATTTCTATTTTATCAGCTCATAATTATCAACTACATAATTCTACTTTTCATAAAAACCATACTACCCTCTTATGTCCCATTATTAGGGGGACGTTTTTATTATTTAATAAAAAGTCAGTTCGATATGGTTTAAACTGATAGTTAAACTTGAAGAACCGTTTTCAAACCAATTCATAGTCGGGACCCGACTTTCGGGTCTCAATTAAGCTGGTTCAATTTTGGTCCGATTTTTGTAGCACTCCTTCGATTTTTTTATTCGTTTTTCGATTTTTCAGTTAAAAATGCCAGCACTACTAAATACTACACCATACTAATAATAACTACAAACTTACAATCGGACTCTATAGTAATGTGCTATTACACGTTGTATACGAATTAAATAATTTATGCTCGATTCGGGATTCAAATTCGTATATGATTATTTGAATTCGAAAAATTCAAATACAAATACAAATACGAATATTAAGTTTGATTCGAATTGTTATCAAATACAAATACGAATTCAGTATATCGATCCGATTCGAATGTTAATTAAATATATTCGATTGTTCATAGTGATAATAATAATAGTAATCACACTATAATAACTTTTAAAAGATAGCTATACTATCAAAGTGTAACTCAATATATAATACTACGTAACATTTACGGAGTATAACATAAGAAATACAAGAAAAGTTATTTAAAGTCATATTTGACTAATATGAACTTATGACGAAATCGATTCAATATTCGTATATGATTCGTTAACTATTGGTATTGTAAACAAATACGAATAAAAAATAGTATTCATTTCATATTCGGATTAGGATTCGGAAAGATAAACAAATACAAATATAAAATCATACTATTCGATTGGATTCGATTGGTTTACAATTATATGTTTAACTCCATCACATTTAGGGCATCCTCATTGTTAGGATTATTGAGGGATCAAATTAGTGACTTGGCAGATTTTTTAGAGAAGTATCATTGAGAGACATTGATTATTTAATGAGATTATTTGCTAGAATAATCCGGGATCAAAATATGAATCCGGATTATTTTAAGATTATTTAAAAAGTATGTGTAATACGTTAATGTCGGACGAAGAAAAAAGCGAATTATTTGAAGATGATGGTTGGGAGGCATAAATGGATTTTGAGATTATTTAAAAATTAATTATGTAAGAATATTTAAAAGGCAAGAATGCTAGAAAGTGTGATTTTTACCGGATTAGGAATGGTGATGCTCTTAGAGGCGCGCGGAGATGGGCCGTTCAGAGAACAACGGGGATCGGCTTGGATAATGGGTATCAAATAAATACTGAATGGAGTATATAAATATTACGCAGAGATCAAAACCTACGTACATACTTAGTTGCGCAGCCTTCCATATCCTCACCTATTCAAACGAGCCAAATCATGAATCTCCAAAACCCACTGTCAATCCTGCCCTCAGAGATCAACCGTGACATATTCTTAAGATTGGAAGGAAAGCAACTGATCATAGCCCAGTTTGTGAGCAAAGAGTGGTGTTCCTTCATAGACAACATCAAGCTCTCCTATACCGGGCAACCCCAGTTTCTCATCCTCTCACCTGGAATGAAATACGATGAAGAACAAATTAGCAGGGAAGTGAGATCAATTAGCCTTGATCTTTGCAGAGAAAGACTATCCCAGTTCACAGGCCATTTATCTTTTGGCAAACCCGCCGAAGAAGATTGTATGCATCGTTTTGGTAATGCTTTTAAGTTGAGGATTTTGTGCTCTGGCTGTGGATTTGTTCTTCTACACATTGGAGAACATATAATTTTGTGGAACCCCCATACAAGCTGGTCTACCAAAGTTCTTGAGCTTCAAGGACTCCAAGATGAGGACTATACGGTGGTCGGAGGGCTTTGTTACGATCCATCCATCTCAGATCACAAGGTTGTCATATTACTTAGCCATAGCACCCCAGACTACGGTGGTCAGTGTGTTTATTTTTCAAGCCTGAAAAATAAAGGGTGGCAACAAGTGCCCTTCCCGTATAACTATATGACTTCACGAGGTGGGGTAAACTTTAATAATACACTTCATTGGATAGTAAGTGACGTCGAAAAACCCGATTGGGATCCGGATTACTATGATTCGTATTATTATGAATATTATATGAAATGGGACAATCTCGCTGGGTGCAATAAAATTGTTTATTTTGATCCCATTGATGACGCATTCAAAACATTGCCCTCCCCTACACGGATCAATCCGGATGAAGAAGACTCCATAGTTGGCACGGGAATTATAGATGGATGCTTCTGCATGGCAAGGAAGGATGAAAATAGGCAAGTGATCCGAGTATCACTTATGAAAGAATATGGAATACTAGAGTCTTGGGTCACATCCTTTGCCATCTCAATGATGAGGTTTGAACCATTTCACATTTACAACCTCAAATTTATGTCCCAAAATGGGAAAGTATTTATGATGTGTGATTTTTCCTTGAGAACATATGTGTATGATGTCGAAGAAGACAAACTAGAAGAGGCATTCCTTTTAGGAGATAATCGTGGATCTATTTATTATTATGGCTGCCTTAGTTGCTTCTATGTTGAAAGTTTTGATTTGCCACGTGAAGTGAGTTGGCCAGAGGGACGGTAATGAGAAAACAATGCAGGCTTTGGAATAATTGTACTTCTTCTGATGATTAAATATACGGAGTATGTTTGTTGCTGGTAGATATATCAATGTTCAATATCTGATGTTAAGTAGAACCCCCAAAATCAATTACCTACCCTGTAATTTAACGTGCCTGTTTTCTTGAATGGGTTTTAATCAATTAGCTGCCATGTAATTCGTTCTGCAGCTGTCAAAAGTGTTTTATCTCATAATCCCTCTAAGAGAACTGGAATATAATGTGACGTTTAATTCAACGGAAATCATTATAGTATGTCGCTAATCAGTAATAGCCCTCCATTACACAGCATGTGATGTTTATAGCAACAGATGGATCACAAATAAAAGTGGAAAGACAAACTTGTTGGCAAAAACATACTCCCTCCATCCCAAAAACAATTTCACAGTTTCACAATCATACAGATTAAGAAAATAAATTTGACTTTACTGTTGGGTGCATTGTTTGCACTGTTTGACATTGTTTTGATGTAGATAATTTGCCAAATAAGGCAAGTATTGAAGTGTGAAGTTAATTTAGGGAGTATATATTAAGGTTTAAAATGTTGAATTACATACTTTACATGGTAATTTGCCATAGATATATTTGATGTGGACTAAAATTAATCAAATTATCAACGGGGAAGCGGATTTGAAGCATAAAACAAAGCTAGAGTATATTGGTATCACAATAAAAGAGCGTTTTCTTAAAACATGGGAAAGCCAGTGGTTAAGGCAAAGGAACAAGGAGTTTTTCTATGTTTTCCGAACGATTTTCGAATGTTTTTCTTATTTTATTTTTACTCGTTCGGATTCCCTGAATGATTTTTTTTTGTCTTAGTTGGTCGGATCATTTATTCCAAATGATTTTTTCTGTTAAATTTTTTAGTTGTTCGGATTTCAAGTTTTTTCCCAAAGTCTGTTGCAGTTAACCGTTGTTAAGGAAACATGACAATCCACATGGCGGTTCTATAAACCACCAATCCAAGTGGGGCTCATTAATAAAATACCACCACTTCCGGTGACAAATAAAGTAAATAGTGTGATTTAAGATAAATATTTATCGTGCACGTGTGAAAGTCAAGAGTACTATTTTTAAAATGATCTCTAGATTCATCCCTCATTTATTAGATTATTGTAAAAAAATTGTAAGAATATTATTATGTGTTATAAATGTTTATATATTACTCCGATCCTCCCGTCCCATTTTATTTGTCGTACTTTTCTCTTTGTGTTGTGCTAAAATAAGTGTCACATTTCTATTTTTGCAAAGAAATATGTGGTTCACAACCACTTTATTACACTCAAATTTCAATCATAACTTTTACCTCGTTAATCACTATATTAAAAATTGTGTCAAATCAATGGAGACACATAAAATGGGACAAAGGTAGTACTTGTTAGATGAGTGTTACTCCGTATAATTCTTGGGTGCTTCTAAGGGCTACCTCAATTTGGTGTGTTTTGGTACAAATCTTTTTAACTAATCATATTATATCTTAGGATCACCTCATATCCTCTTTAACTAAACTTTCTGTACACTACAATAAAATTGAATTATAGAGGCACAATAAAATTGCCTCTAAAAAAAGAAAAATTGTCTCTAATGCTTTTTAGAGGCAATTGGTTGCCTTGAAATAATATAATCCATCACTAAATTATTGTTGCCTCTAAAATTTAGAAGCAAACTAGAAGCTAATTTTATACTACCTCCATCCCCAAAAGATTGACCAATTTGACTTTTGTTGTTCAATGGTGTTACAGTTTAGACAACAATTTTAGGTATTATATTTGTGTGTAATATATAAATTTTTAAATTTTATGAAAGACTTTTTTAATAAAGAATATGCTCAAATAATTTTTCATATTTTAAAAAGTTTTTTGTTAAAAAATATCATTGGTCAACTTAGACCACCATTGACAAAAAATGTCAAATTGACTCATCTTTTTGGGAAGGAGGCAGTATAACATGGAATGTCAAAATGAAGTTTAATAACTCGATAGTGTAGAACATAAACTTATCTAAACTTTTGACAATTTCATAAATCTCACTAATGCATAAATTATTAGAACATTCAAAACGAAAAAGTATGAACTACAAGCTCAGGGAAGAAATACTCTTTAGTCAGGTCATTGAGAAAAATGCTTGAGAAACACAAAATGTGTACACTTCACACTTGTGTGTCCTTCACAGAAATTTAGTTTGTCACAGACAACTCAAAATCAGTTATCTGTGACAGACAAAATTTCTGTGAAGGACAGACATGTGTACACACATTAGTAGAATTCCACCCTTTACCTACAACTTTCATACATACAAAATTAAATTTGTGAACATACATAATAATAATAACAACAACAACACTAAAAAATTGTGTCAGTTATTTTTAATACAACTTTGAAGTTATCGCTTTTGTAGAACCTCAAATTAATTTTTATCACCACTCTAATATTTTCACCCACCAAAATTGAAATTCTAAACGAACACCTCATCTCAAGTCCTCACATGGTCATGTCATCCTCTATATATAATACTCCCCACCCATCTCAAAATAATAGTTACCTTGTGGATTTTGTAATCTGGATTATAAATTAAAGTTTATATATTTCTTTCACATTTCAGCTGATTCAATCAGAATTTCATCAATTTACGCAGATACAATCATTTTGAGTGTTACCAAAGAGGTTCTAAAATTTTGTCTAAAATTATAAAGTTATTTTTTGGTACCAAAACTAGTACTTCTTCCGTCTCGCTAGAAGGTTCCAGTTACGGTTTACGATATTTGACTGACGATAAAACAACTTAATCCATGTTCACACTCTGATTATTTTTAGTAAATAAAATTTACATATTCAGAAACTACATTAAAACCGCTACAAAGCCTGATAAAAAAATGTAAATTTGATAAAAATTTCATATATACAGCCTAAAATTAAAAATGATTTATGATTTTTTGCCAAAGATGTTATTATTATACTCTCTAAGATTTATTTATCTAGCAAAATTTTAAACGGAGGTAGTAATAAAATTAAAAAGAGCCTTGCTACCTTTTTTTGTAGGAGCGTTTACCTGCAACGGCATATTCGAACTTGCCAGCCAGGTTGGCAATCCGGCAAGTCTTCTCCAGCATTTGACCGGCAAGTATTCGAACTTACACTTTAGACAACAATTTTAGGTATTATATTTGTGTGTAATATATAAATTTTTAAATTTTATGAAAGACTTTTTTAATAAAGAATATGCTCAAATAATTTTCATATTTTAAAAAGTTTTTTGTTAAAAAATATCATTGGTCAACTTTGACCACCATTGACAAAAAAGGTCAAATTGACTAATCTTTTTGGGAAGGAGAGAGTAAAACATGGAATGTCAAAATGAAGTTTAATAACTCCATAGTGTAGAACATAAACTTATCTAAACTTCTGACAATTTCATAAATTTCACTAATGCATAAATTATTAGAACATTCAAAACGAAAAAGTATGAACTACAAGCTCAGGGAAGAAATATCTCTTTAGTCAGGTCATTGAGAAAAATGTTTGATGTACACAAAATGTGTATACATATCTATCCTTCACAGAAATTTTGTCTGTCACAGATAACTGATTTTGAATTGTCTGTGACAGACAAAATTTCTGTGAAGGACATAAATTCACCCTTTACCTACAACTTTCATACATACAAAATTAATTTTGTGGACATACATAATAATAATAATAATAATAATAATAATAATAATAATAATAATAATAATAATAATCCCTTCGTCTCAATATAAAAGGAACATTTCCCTTTTCGGCAATCAAAACAGTGTCAAACAATGTCCAAACAGTGTCAAACAGTGTTCCTCCTAAAAATGTTTGAAAACGCAAATGTACTCTTTATATTGGGACGGAAGGAGTAATAATTATAATTACAAAATCAGTGAACAATGTGAACTATAATTAAAAATATAATAAAATCTTATTTTTACCCCCTAGCAAATGAATAATTAAATCAATTAAAAGTTGGGAATACTCGTCAAATTTAGCAAGGCACTACTATTCAAGGTAAATTAAAGGAGATGCGTGTAGGAAACTTGATGTCGTTACCGACTTGCATGAGGAGCGACGAAGCTATTGTTGTGCACATGTTTCTGTCGGCGGTCACGTCTGTCCAAGACAGTCGCTTCCGTCTGTCGAGTCTTCCGTCTCTGCCTCGCTCGAGCTGCTGCGCCGTTGTATAGTTTAAGGGTTGGTTATTCCAGCCAACTTCGAAAGTTGCGAGCAAGAAATAGATATGTATTTCAAAAAATTAAGAATCCATGATAGTTATCAATATCATAACCATATCCCCTCTCGGTTAGTATCAATAATTTTATTTTAATATAAGCTTCGGATCTTATACAATAACCGGTGCATATATTTTTTTAAAAATAAAAATCTAAACAAAAAAAATTGTGTCAGTTATTATTAAGGAACTACCAAGCATGTGCCCGTAATTCTTTTTAATACAACTTTGAAGTTATCGCTTTTGTAGAACCACAAATTAATTTTTATCACCACTCTAATATTTTCACCCACCAAAATTGAAATTCTAAACGTACACCTCATCTCATGTCCTCACATGGTCATGTGGTCCTCTATATATAATACTCCCCACCCATCTCAAAATAATAGTTACGTTGCGGATTTTGGATTATAAATTAAAGTTTATATATTTCTTTCACAATTCAGCCGATTCAATCAGAATTTCATCAATTTACGCAGACACAATCATTTTGAGTGTTACCAAAGAGGTTCTAAAATTTTGTCTAAAATTATAAAGTTATTTTTTGGTACCAAAACTAGTACTTCTTCCGTCTCGCTAGAAGGTTCCCGTTACGGTTTATGATGTTTGACTGACGATAAAACAACTTAATCCATGTTCACACTCTGATTATTTTTAGTAAATAAAATAACATATTCAGAAACTACATTAAAACCGCTACAAAGCCTGATAAAAAAAATGTAAATTTGATAAAAATTTAGCCTAAAATTAAAAATGATTTATGATTTTTTGCCAAAGATGTTATTATTATACTCGCTAAGATTTATTTATCTAGCAAAATTTTAAACGGAGGTAGTAAAATTAAAAAGAGCCTTGCTACCTTTTTTTGTAGGAGCGTTTACCTGCAACGGCATATTCGGACTTGCCAGCCAGGTTGGCAATCCGGCAAGTCTTCTCCAGCATTTGACCGTGACCTCATCATCAGTTCTTGCTTCTTCATTCCTTCCTCTCAG